GCTCTTTTGTGGCGCGGCTCCCGCCAGAGCCCTTCCAGCTGAATGGCCCCTAATTAGTGTCTCGCCTCATGCCAAGCCCCCGATGAAAAGCGGCTATGTGGGCCCGGCGGGGCCGCCTCAAAGCCCCACTTTGTCCTCGCCCCTCCGCCCCCAGCCCCAGTGGCTGAGGAGGGAGGGAAGGAGCCGGGGGGGTTATTTGGGGGGTGCCCGGCTCTTCCCCCCTTCCATGGTATTGTGCTCTGTGGGACAAAGGCTGGGATGGGGATGGGGATGGAGATAGGCGAGGGTCGGTCTCTTCTCCAGAATAACTCCCGGTAGGACAAGAGGAAATGGCCTCAAGTTGCACCAGCGGAGGTTCAGGTTAGATATTAGGAAAAATTCCGCATGGAAGGAGTAGTCAAGCGTTGGAACGGGCTGCCCAGGAAAGTGATGGAGTCACCATCGCTGGCAGCATTCAAGAAACGTGTAGATGAGGCACTTAGAGACACGGTCTAGCAGGATGATGTTGAGGGGTTCAGGAACAACGCCTACCACTGCCTCTGCCTCAAGGGCACCACCGGTGAGGCCCCAGCCCGCTCCGGGCAGCGCGGCCAGTTCTCCCGGTTCTGGGGCGCCGGGATGGGCTTTGTTGTGGCGGCGGAGGCGGCTCGGTCGCCTTCTGCCTCGTCAGCAGGGCCCGGGGCTTGGTGAGCACCGGGCTAAGCGCTGCCTCCCGCCCTCCTCTTCCTCCCGCAGGGCCCAACTGCGAAATCAACCTGGACGACTGCGCCAGCAACCCCTGCGACTACGGCAAGTGCATCGACCGGATCAACGGCTACGAGTGCACCTGCGAGCCGGGCTACGCAGGTGAGCGCCCGGCCGCCCTCCTCGCCCCCGGCTTTCATCTTGGCTTTCATCCGCCCTCGGCGCCCTGCCGCCGCTGCCATGGCTTTCATTCCCACTGCAAGAGGTTTTGCGGCCTCTCCTGGGGCTTGTGTGCAAAATGGGGCATCCTGGATGGGCAGGTGGACATCCCGACTGGTCTTCCCGGTCAGGGATCCAAGATGGAGCCCCCCTGCAGCCATTTCTGCTCCCTCTCCTGGACCTCTTGCTAGCTCCAAGTGATTCCAGCCCAGCCCCGCCCTGTCAGAAAAGAAAAAAGAATTAAAACAAAATCAAAGGGCCTCGGGTGGCGTTAACCGACTCCCGCGCGTCCACTCCCATGGGTATCGGGTTGCTGCCTCGTCCGACTGGTTTGTTTGGTGGTGGCGGGCGGGGGGGCCCGGGGC